TTCTAGTCGTGGGCATTGACAACTGGTAGCTGCTGGGAAAGGAAGAGACAGTTTTTCTCTAAGAGTGTAGACCCTGGTAAGTTCACCCCACACTGTAATGGGAAAGCACACATCCAAGAATATTTGGGCAGCACAATTTGGTCTTGATGGGTTTAGATAAAAAAGGACACAAAGTTGGATGGGTCAGCAATGGATGCTGGATCTGGGAAGAACTGGAGGAGAGGGGTGTTATCAAAACACATTGTACAAAACTCTCAAAGGAAAAAAACAAGTGAGGTTAGCCTTAGCTAGCAGCTAATCCATGCAAACCTCTTTATAAATTAGGTATGGGGTTGGAGAGATGGCTCAGTGGCTAAGAGCACTGACTGCTCTACCAGAGGTCCTGACTTCAATTGCCAGCAACCATATGGTGTCTCACAACCATCTGTAATGAGATGTGGTGCCCTCTTCTAACTTGCAGGCAGACATGCAGAGAGAACACTGTATACAGAATAAGTAATTCTTTACAAAAAAAAAAAAAAAAAGTCAGGTGTGATGGCACAAGCTTGTAATTCTAGAACTCCTGAGGCTGTGACAAGATTGCCACGAGTTTGAGGCCAGCCAGGATTAAAACTCCCTTAAACACTGAAAAGAAAAATCCCTGCCATGTGACCTGGATGGAGATCTTAATGCCATTATGCTAAGTGAACAGGCGTGTATGATTCCATTCATATGAAGGATCTTAAAATAGCCAAACAACAGAAAAAGGAAATGAAATGGCAGGTGCTAGGGGCTAAGGGAAGAAAAGTGGATTATGTTTAAAGGCGCAGAATTTCAGCTTTACAGAGCAAAAGCTCTGGGGATCTCTTGCACAATATTAATATAATTATTACTTAACTTCTAAAAATCATTCTTCCTAATTGTTGTTGATTTTCATACAAATATACAATGAACTATGACCAGGTCTAATCCCCATTTTCCAACTCCCTCATATCTCCCCCCCACTTCATTTTTTTTTTTTTTTTTTGATAACCCACTAAGCCTAATTAGTGCATGGGTATGGTTCCATCTGCTGGAACACAGGATAACTATCGGAGGAAACACATAAGTGAGTCAGTCCCCTTCCCTCATCAGCTATCAACTGCTGGTCCAGACAGTACCTCCCTTTTCTATGTATGCCCCAAGTCTGGCTAGCTTGATCTTAACAGCTTATCTCTTAGTGGCCAAAGAGAAGGCCCACTGTTTGGGAGGACTTGTTTCTTTCAAAGGGGGTTCTACTGCCATGGCTCCTCCTGGCAACAACTTAAACCATATCTAACTCCAGGTCAAGGGATCCATCAACACTCTTCTGGCCTTGAGCAGCAGGCACACATGTGGTGTACAGACATACATTCAGGCAAAACTCTCAATCCAGAAGTTATCTTTTAGCATACATGCTAAAATATCACAACTGGAATTCGATTCAAAATATTCTGAGGGGAGTGAAATACAAGCAACACCAACTGACAATCCTTAAAGGTAAGTTTTAACAGCTCATTAAACCATTTTTTGTATTTTTGAAGCTTTCAATTATACAAGACTTTTAAAAAAATCAAGATAATGAAATTGAAAAAAAATGAATCAACAGAAATGCTAGGCAAAACAGTTAAGTAAAGTTCTCTGAATGTAAAACCAAAATAACTAAAAGGGTACACGGAAGCAGCAGGCCTTCTAGAAGGCCACATAGCTAACAGGAGCCCCAGAAGAGAGATATGGCAGATAGTGCACAACTCCAAGAACTACCCTGTGTACATCACAAGGATGTCTTTGCACTCCGATGATGGTGGAGACGTAAATGCACTCATTTAAAGGCATCCTTAGGTTGTTTTACTGAAAATAAAAATTCCCACAACCTATGACTAAAAATTTCTTAAAATATCCCAGAAAAACATTCATACATGAGCATTTGGTATATGCTTGTTTTATATGGCTAATTTTATTGCATTTACTTATTAGTTATATGTGTATAGAGGTCAGAAGGTAACTTGTGGGAGTTGATTCTCTTCTTCCACTTTGTTCAGTCCTGGGATTGAACTCAGGCTGTTAGGCCTGGCAACAAGTCCCCTTTATCCACTCTAAGCTATCTTGCCAGTCCTATAATTTTATCAGTTGAGTGCACACATCCACAGTGCAACCAAAATTCAGAAATTTGACTTCTAGGGATACTTCTTAACACATCCAAATGGAAACACACTATTGTGAACATTTAATTCAAATTGTTCTTTGAACAGCAAATTCCTTGAAATTATCTAAAAGACTGTTAAGAGGAATGAGGTTAAACGGTACATACATTCATGCAACATGTGCAGAGAAATATGCTGTACATATGCAACCACCAGATCACACACACACTGAAGTATTCAGCCAGAGGAAAAAAATTAAGAAATGCTCAAATTTGTGGCAATAAAGATGGAACTGAGGACAAAATAGTAAATACATCAGGCACAGAAAAATACTGCATGTTTTATCACATATGGAAGTTAGAATGAGTTAATTAAGTGGAGACAATAGGTCACCAGAGGCTAAGAAGGGAAAGGAGAATGGAAAAGTGACACTAGAGTGAGTTACAGCATTTTTTTTTTTGGACGGGGTTTGTCTGTGTAGTTTTGGAGCCTATCCTGGCATTCACTCTGTAGGCCAGGCTGGCCTCAAACTCAGTACTTTACAGCACAATAGAGTGACTGACTTTCAGAATAACTATTTTACAAAGCAGTATCAGTGATTCCAAGACTCACAGAATAATGAAATGGTGCCTGTAAATAGATGCAAATTTGAACTACCCTGATTGAATCATGTAGAATCACATTGCATATTGTTTGTACAAATTAAATGGAAAGCCTAGGAAGCCTTTAAGTTTGATTCCCAACAACAAAATTCTCTTAATTTAAAATTCTCGTAACACAATTTTTGGGGGTGTTGTTTTAAGTTAATTAAGAATAGTAACTACAAAATATAAAGTGAAATTTTTATAGAAAATGAACAGGCATTTGTGTGATTTAATGTGCTTTGAAAGTAACTAAAGTTTCATTTCACCTAATTTCAAAGATAAAATTTTACTTGTGTCATGTCCTCCTGTTAGGCCTGCCCCCCTTTTCCATTGAGGATGACCCAGTTGGCAACTTCATAACTGGGATCTCAGATATTTCTCAAAGAATCCTTACAAGTAACTAATACCACTGGCTAGCTTGTTCTCTGGAAACCCAGAGTTAACAGAAATACTCATATATGCATTTGAGGCACAAAAGAATTTAGCTTAAAGGAAGTCTCGTAACTTGATCTAGCCTTCTGATCCAAGAATCTAAATTTGGAGTTTGATTCTGTAGCCAAAGCTTTCCACTCAACATCCTTTTGCCTGTTTTACTTTACATCCACAAACCATACACATAATGCCCTAGGGATGTCAGGTGTAGAAACCTGAGATTGCAATGAAATAGCTTCAACACCCTTGGAAATTGCTAGGTCACTCAACAGCAGTGTCCTGAATCAGGGAAAAGTAATTCCTTCATACAAGATTCACAGAACCAGGATTCCTTGGCTACTAACCAGTTAGCCTGTCCTTTCTTAGATTCTCAAGGTTTTAGCTCAGCAAGTATTTTGAAAACTTCAAAGAATTAAAAAACTTCCCAATTTCCAGATACTTAAAAAAAAAAAAACCGGGTCCTACTAAATGCAGCCCTGCTACAGACTAGGCTGGCCTTTACTTTTTTTGGTTTTTTGAAACAGGATTTCTCAGTGTAGCTTTGGAGCCCAACCTGGCACTCACTCTGTAGACCAGGCTAGCCTCGAACTCAGAGATCCGCCTGCCTCTGCCTGGGATTAAAGGCCTTTTAAGAGAGATCCAACTAAAAGAAAACCATTTGTAGGTGAAGATGTAGCTTCACCCGTAAAATATTCTTTGGCCTTAACAATGTTTTCACAGAATAAATCTTTCATTTAATTCTCAAGAGGCTGAGTTCTTGACTCAGGTGCCAGTCTTGGGTTTTTATTTGGTTAATTCAACACACCTGAGAAAAGGGAACTGCCTTCATTATTGTGTGGGGGCATTTTTGTTAACGGATTCAAAAGGTCTACTCCACTGTGGGAAGGTTATCATTGCCTGTATAAGGTAGCTAAGAAGGCAGCCAGTACCTATATAGTTTAGTTCAAAAGGCCTAGGCCAATATCCAAAGGAATGCATTCCCTGACTCCACTAAGTATATATTTCATAATTTATAATACTCATTCACAACTTCTACCCACTGGATGAAATATCTTTACACACCTTAACAAAGCATTTTAAAGGCCGGGGGTTCCACTGTACCTGTTAAAGCCCAGCCTTGACACTGGTAAAGTTCAACACGGAAAACCTGTTGTGAGGTCTACTTAGGTTAACACAGAAGTTCTAGAATGGTTTATTTACTGTTTCAGTTTTATCACATATCAACAGCTTCAAGTTTTAGATGGGATTAGCCTGGTTTACCTTGAGACCCTGACCCAAACATCATCCCCAGACCTAAAGGTCAAGTAATATATCTGCACTCCCCTACCAACCAAATTTAGCCTTTATTTGGCTTAGTGACCTCTAGAAAAGTTAACTCTTCTTTTTCTGTCACTTTACCAACTCGTAGCACACCTCTAACTGCCTGTTCAGCAGTTAAAAGAACTTGTTCTTTCACTGAGGACTCCAGTTCAGTTCCCAGCACCTATACAGTGCCTCAAAAAATCGTCTTGAACTACAGTACAGTTCCAGGCAATGGCACATCAGGAACCCTTATGACGACACAAAACAGAAACATGAGAAAAAAAGTTCTCTAGCCTGGGTGGCGGCGGCGCATGCCTTCAATTCCAGCACTCGGGAGGCAGAAGCAGGCAGATTTGTAAGCTCAAGACCAGCCTGGTCTACAAGAGCTAGTTCCAGGACAGCCTCCTAAGCCGCAGAGAAACCCTGTCTGGAACACCCCCCCCTCCAAAAAACCCATTTTCTGAATAAAGGCCAACAAAACTTAACCGGCTACGTCAGTTTATTAAAATATGACTCAGGCATCTGCAATAGTGACTTCAACCTCCACGCCTGGCTCAATGCTGATGGAAGTGATCTGCTTAACAATCTCGGAAGGACTGTGCAAATCAATCAGTCGCTTGTGGATCCTCATTTGGAAACGATCCCATGTCTTGGAACCTTCACCACAAGGTGTTTTTCTTGTAGTGATTCTCAGAGTCTGCAACAAAACAGAAGAAAACTGTAGCGAATTTGTGAACCGTTTTTTCCCCCGTACACTAACCGATTTCAAATACTAGCAATTCCCACAAGACAGCAGCACTCTGTTGCTCTAACAAGACATCATACCCACTCTGCACCATCAAGAGTTTGGCACCTCGTACAAGCTAAATTGTCCTCTAAGAATTCCTTTTGTAACCAGGCCAGGAGCACCTGTTTCACACCACTAGATGATCCCACCCGCCATTTACCTTGGTGGGCATGCGCACCGGTCCCTTCACTTTCAGATTCTTTTCCTTGGCGCCTCTGATCAAGTCGGCGCACACTGCAGGTAAAGAAACACCGTCTTTCAGTT